CAACCCAAACCATTCTGTGATTCTATGGTTGCTGCTGGCCAAGCCCCACTGCAGGGAGAGGGGCAGCCCCCTCCCTGCCTGCCCTCGGAGAGGCCAGATAAGCTACAGAGATTGCAGGGGTGAGGGGATAAATCAGGCTACCGAGTGCTCTGCTCAAGAAAGCAAAGCTGGCATGTTTTGTTCCGACGAAATGCCGTCGTTTGCGTCTAACGCAATCCGTGCTGAAATCACGGTCGGGTTGTGCCATGGGCAAGGAGCTAACGCTGAGAGTACTGAAGCATATGTTTGGCTTCGCTCCTGCGAGTCGTCCCGTGGAAACTGAAGATGTGCTTAAAATAATTGGACTTCTTTCTCTGCGGGGCGAAGCGTGTGCCATGGTGTCGGTAGGTTTACGTGGGTAAACAGAGACAACTGTATGGTTTTGCAGAAAACAGACATCGTTTCGTAGGGAAATGTTTTTTCCACCTTGAATTTAAAAGCACACCTAGTGCACACGTGTCTGAGCCTGCTCTCGAGTTCAAGTTGGCCCGACACACTGGTTGTCTGCACGTAGGCATGGGCGCGGGCACACGCTTGGCAGCCTGGCGCTCCCAGTCTTTGCTGAGGGACAGAGCCTGTGGCCCAAATCTTCACTCCTGGGACCTGCATGGACTGAGCGTGGCTCCGTGCACACTCGAGAGGATGCTCTGGCCGCGTGCAACACCTGGCAGAGAACATGGCCAGAGAACATGCAGGCCATGGCACGTGGTGTGCTCCGACTTCTTGTTTGAGCCTTTCGATAGAGATGTTGCCTGAGCAACTTGAGTGCACTTGCTTCATTAATTTTTAAATGGCTTTTTCTTTTCCCAAGATCGTATGTGCATGTTTGAAAGCTGCATCTCACATTCCCCAGGGCTAACTTTTGCCATTGTTTGAAAATGGTTGTTGTTTTGGTGGGTGATCCCGCAGGTTTCTCCTGGCGTATATTTAAGGACACTCTAAACTACTTGACGAGGAGGAGTTCTATCAGGGTTACTAGTGAGACTGTGATGAATAATGGTAAAAAATAAAATGTTTTCAGGATTAGCCATTAATGGTAGTTTGTATTTCTACCTCATCTGTCCATGTTTCTTTTATTATTTTTCTCTCCACAGCCTTTTTTGGTTAAATGAAAGTTTAAGCAACTATTCAATATGAATAGTTAATAACCTTAGGATATCAAAAATGCAGTGTGAGCCTCCTAAAAGCATTTTCAATGCATAAAAAGGAAAGAAAAACCAAACAAAAAAAAAAAAAGAAAAAAAACAGGCTTCCACAATGAAAATGTAGCCCCCTGAGAACCCCCATCTGCAAGGTCTTCAGAAGCCAGCTGTGACAGCACAACAGTGGGCTCGGGGTACTGCTGATGGAGACGGCTCTGAAGAAACAAAGTGGACTCCTAATTTTTTCTTTTTTTTTTTTTTTTTTTCCCCTTCCAAGCCAAATCCAGGTTGAAAAGAGCCATCCTCCTGGTGCCTGCTGCGAGCCGGCGGGAGCCCGGTGGGGAGCCCTGTAGAAAGTTGGCTGCGGCTTCCAAGCTGTGGTTTGGCACACGTCTTCCCCAAGACCTCTGCCAAATATTCAGATTTCTTTTTAGTGGGTTTGGCGTTTCTTTTTTTATTTTTTTTTTTCTTTTCATGTTGGCATTTTATTTAACTGTACCACATGAGTTTAAGGGTGTTAGTTTGATATATTTTGTCACCAGAATGGGTGATTTTGTGCAGAGTTCTTTGATGGAAGGTGAAAATACGAGGTGTATGTGGAAGGTGAACAAATTGCGTCGAGAGAAGGTTGTAGTAAAGGTCACATGGAGCAGTAACACTGGTGTTAGGTCTGGTTAGCGTCTCTCCTGTGTGGGAATTTAACATCACTTTTGTACGCCAAGTTAGAGAAACCTTTGGTTCTCACTGGCAAAGCATGGGAGAGGGAAGAGATGTGGGCACCCAACAAAACTTTCTGATCTTTCCCCAAGTGCATTAAAAAGGGAGTTCTCCAGCAGCTGGGCTCGGTGAGCACAGGAGAGGAGTCTTGGGTGATTCTCCAGCACTCCCCTAGGTCTTCCTTTCCGAGGGAGTCTGGGATTCCAGTGCGAACCGTTTGCCGAGCCGAGCGCAGACTGGGGAGTTGCGTCAGCTGTGGCAGTGTTGTTCTGGATCAGCCTGACCTCTTTTAAAATAATTCGTATTTTTCCAACACTAATAAAAACCTTAGCTGAGGTTCTCTCTCTTTCTGTGTGTGTGCCTGAACACTAAATTAAAAAAAAAAAAAAAAAAATCCCAGATGTGAATCTATAAACCATCTGTTTAAAATAACTATTGCGCAGGACTATAATTAAAAGTTATTTATTATGAATCTCGGGATCCTATTATGGATTTTGACTGACTCCCAGGTTTCTGATTTAGCAAACGGTTTATGTATTTATGAGCCATGTGTCTCTTCCGCACGTCTAGGTGCCAGAGTGCATGTCCTTTAAACAAAAGGGGAAAAAAAAAAAAATCCCCCCCTTTCCCATAACTGTTAGCTTCTGAATGTTGCTGTCTAAGAAGTTTTCTCTGAAGAACAGCAAAAATCAAAGTATCTGAGAGCTTTCGACAACTCCAGAGACGCTGTTGACGACACAGATGGAGGTTTGGTAATACAGCTCTGGTGCATGCAGCTACTTAGCAACTTTTTAAATGTATGGTTGGGACAAGTAATGAAATGTTAAAATTACTGAGAGTAGGAGGGGACGTGTTTGGAAGGAAAGGATATGTTGCTGAAGTCCATTTGTTCTCACCCTTCGCTTTGGCCTTGTGAAACGGGAGGGAAGGAGGCAGCAAGACTGAATCACGCAGATGGACAGTAGACATTAAGAGCAGTGTTTTGGATGATGGGGTGAAGGAGAAAAAAAAGCTCCTGGTGACAATTGCTCTTTGTTTTATCTTCATACTTTTGCACCCAGTGGGCCTAGGAGGTCTGCACTGGATAGTGCCTGACTGCAGTAGACTAAACAATGATTTACCAGCCCTGTTTTATCTGCTGCTGTCCTATGACTGATCAGCACATTAACCCTTTCCTCCACGTCTGCTGGCCTAGTTTTCCCCAAGATGCAGCACTGAGATAAAGCAACCAGATTTTCGGAAAGAATGTCAGGATTAAATGCGGTCCTGGAAGAACCAAGAGGCACTCGGCTGCGCTTCCCTGGAACTCTGCTCATCTCCGTGTACTACAACAGGGATTTTGCTGTGAAGACTGCGCCGGGGCAGTGTGTTGCAATTGTGGCTCTGCTGTATATTTTGTTGGCAAAAAGCCCCCAAAGGAGCTGTGGGAGCTGCAGCCATGAGCGGTGCTGGACCTCACACCCTGGAAGAGCAGCCCAGCCCTCGTGTCAGGGAGCTGGACACCTCGGGATGACATCTGAAACAGCCACTTTTGGGGCCATCTGGGCCTTCCCTATAATATATACATTCCCTATATATTCCCTCCTTCACCAGCTTGAGAGGAGGAGTAACAGCTTTGCAAATCTCACCTCTCTTGGGGCTTAGCCACCCTTCTCGTGGTGGCAAAGATTGGCTCTGTTTACCTGGGATACACAGACCTGTCCCTGCAGTCAGGAGGATGGGTGCAGCTTCTCCTCCAAGGGAGAGAGCTGATTTTGCTCTTTTCTTTAAAAAATTAAAAAAAATGGGAGGGAGAGGGCAGGGAGCGTGGCACCTCCTGCCCACCTTTTAGCACCATGCTATAGCAACTCACTTTTGAGACGGTGATCCAGGTTTGGTGCCCTCCACATCCAGAGGCAATTCAAAGCTTCCTCTTCTTTCCCCACGAGCATCCTCGCTGTCGGGACCGGTGGCTTTTGGGAGCACAAGGAAAAAGCCTCTCTTCTGCTGAAGCTAGGCCACTGAACAGCAAATAGTTCAAGGTCTACCAGGATAAAGAAAGGGTATATGAATCTGTAGCCTACTGCTTAAGATGCCCTCCAAGGGGGATGTAAAACAGCCCTTGGCACCCGGATATGAACTCTAAAATCTTCCCTTGGGAAAGCTCCCAGCCCTTGGGCTGTACAGCCCGGCTCAATTTTGCTTTGTCTTTCCAGTTGCTTCCATCCTCACCTGTAACGAAGGTCCTGACTTTGAGGTTGAGCCACCAGGGTTGCTGGTGATGAGGGAAGGAGAGTTAGGATCCAAATTGGGCTGCCCCTGTGGGTCGGCTCAATGGTATCAAACTTGTCACTGGCAGAGGACATTCCTGAATTAAGTGATGTGGGCCAAACAGGAGGTTTTTAGTGAGGAACGGTAACTAGCAAGTAGCTCCTGTTTGAAATACGTGTGTCAGATGCATCTTAAGGATCCTTAGGGACGTTTGTATTGCCAACAAGAAGCAATCATGTCAGGATGTGTCTGAGGGCAGAGAGAGGGAGCTGGTGCTCAGGCGAGGTGGCGAGAAGCTGCCTGGGAAGCTGGTCTGCATGAGACATTTGCCCCAGGAGTCCCCTGGGGCTCGAGGAGCAAAAAGAAATATGGAGCTACATGTTACTTCTCGGTGCAGTCTACAATAATAACGTCTTCCTTTGAAGAGGGAGTCCGATGGGTACCTGCCTACTGGACCCCGTGACTTGGGTGCTACCCAGCTAGGTTGGCCCAGAAGGGCACCATGCACCTCTCATCTCACAGAGGTCCACGATGCAGCTGGGTAGACCATGGTCTCCAAAGGAACATACTCAGAACTGGATTTTGCCTTTCCTTCAAAGCCACTTTCAGCATGCAGAAGATTTTCCCACAGATCAAAGTAACGGGGCTGCTGGGCTTATTAAATCTTTCCTTGAGCAAACTGTCATGAAAGAGAATCAGATCTTAGCAGAACCTTTTAAAATACAGACTGTGTAGTCGATTCGGTAAACTTAATTCTGCTGCCCTTCAAGAGGCTTTAAGGAGGCAAACTCAGGGACCACTACGTTCACGTAAAGGGAACCAAAATTTCACCCTATGCTCTAAAAAGAAATCGTGGAGCCAGATGTACTGCTGTGCCACGGCTGCTTCGTGCCAGTCCAGAGCTACAGACCTGCTGTAAATTCGGCTTACCTCGCCACTTAAATTGCATTTATGGTTGGTCTGCAACGCGGAGCAGCCGGCACGTAGCGGTGACCTGGCTTTTTACAGTAGGCGTTTGTGTGCCTGCAGCTGGGCTTTGGGGCCTGATTCTCGTTTGCTGATTTCACACTGGCTGTGAATGAGAGCGATTCCTCATTTACACTGATAAGATGGAAGTGCCTTTACAGCTCCCATCAGATCAGGCAGCGACTTTGAAGAGAATAAACCTCTGATTTTAGACAAAGAGCTGGAGAGTAATAAAAGCCGCGTGTTATCCTTCACAGGCACCTTGAATAAGGCCACAGGGAGCGAAAGAAAAAGACTGGAAAGCACAGTTTCTTTTCCTTTAGTTTTATGATTTACATTTTTCTAGCCCTTTGATTTTTTTGGTCTCTAATTAAGTCATAAGACTGGGTGAGGTGGGTGCGTGCATCTCGTTACTGGCCACCTGTGTCACTTAATGAACTGAGCTACTAATTATAGGTGGAGGTCACTTCAGAGGGCTACTTTAAGTCAAGAATTTCAAGTAGCAAAATTTTACTGAAAGAAACCCCTGAAGTATTTGTTTTCTGCCCTTGTTTAAAGGCAGAGATAACCAGAGGGGTTGACACTGCAGGGGCGAGCCAGGCTATAAACGGAATATTTGACCTGCCTGCTGTCGCACACCTCTATTGATATTCCTTAATGTGGTCAAGTTGCTCTTTGGCCTTGGCCATCGCTGGCTTTTTGCCATAGGAAGGTGACACTATTATGCATGGTGATTCCACCTGCTTGTGTTGTTTCATCAATTTTCAGCATTTTGTGGAGAAGGATGGATTATGGTAGTCTCTTTTCTAGTCTGGTACGTAGTAGGCTCTGTCGAAGATCCCCTGGGTATCTCGTTAATGCCACCAGCTAAAAATGGCTTTCAGCAGTGGCAGAGAGTTTTGGTTTCTCTGAGGTTGCCACCTCTTCCTCAGCCATCTGTCCTTCTGTCACTGTGAGAAACAATTCCTGAGCTGTGCAGATCACGGGCCAGCACCTCAAGACCCCAAGGATATTTGAACAAGCGCATCATGTAGTTAGTTGTTCGTTTAAGTGAAGTGGATTTCTTCAGTGGAGTACATTTTTTGGACTGTAATGGGTAGCAGTTATGAATTACTGTCTAAGTGGAGTTTAAATGTGGTTTACTTGAGCTCCTGGATAGTTCAGTGACTGTCTTCTACTGTGTTCCTTCAAGGAGATAAAGGCATTTTGAATCACAAGGACCTTGCCTGAAGTGAAAAATCAAATTACTAGCCTCATGTTTTATTTTCTGAGTTGCAAGGAACTGAGCCATGGATCTGGTTTGCTTGCAATAGCTTTTGTCTTTTTTTTCTTCCCACCACAGAATAAGGAGGTGACATGCAAGAGAGAGAAGTGTCCGATGCTCTCCAAGGACTGTGCTCTCGTCATTAAGCAGAGAGGAGCTTGCTGCGAGCGTTGCAAAGGTGCGGTTCCCTTCCCGTTGTTTCCGTCTTTTTAAAATGTTAGCAGTTCACAGTTATGCCAGAGATATGGACAAAGTTGGGAGCTTCTCAGCTGGGACTTGCTGTCTCCAGAGGCTTGAAAAGGGCAGTAACCACAGTTAAAATCAGTCTGTTTCCGAAGCTGGTGGAGATGCGTGAATTCACGTATTTGTCCTGTAATTATTAGTTCTTGCACAACGACGATCCTTTAGAAATACATCTTTATTGTACTTCGTTGGTATGTTGTCAGTCTTTTGAGAGATATCTCCTGTTCTAACTTTATCAGAAATATTTTAGGTCAAAATCGATCTTTTTGCGTGGTTGAGCAGAATAGGAATAATGCTTCTGAATGATAAAGAGCGGAGTAATTATCCATGACTGTTTTTATTTCTCCCTATACTAGATACAAACTAACCAAATGCTATTTATTTTACTAAATATTTCCTGATTCAAATAATAATATTGTGGGCATTTTTGTTAAAGCCAAAATGGGCACCAATCTGAACATTGTGCATTTATTTATTGACAAACAGTGTATCTTCCAAGCTCTTTAGAATGAGCTAATTAACAAATATTAAAAAAAAAAAAAAAAGAACTTTGTAAGCACGCATGGCATGTAACTACCATGCTTATGCACATGAAAAATGTGCAAGTACATGAATTTGAAAACTAGACTTTTTTTACACCCATGCAGCAAGTAATATGCTCTAAAACACTAATTTTGCTGAAGGACTGCTGACACAGTCAATGAGGTGAAGAATGTCAGATTCAAACAGCTTTTTTTTTTTTTTATGTTTTTCTCTGTTGTTTAATTCCCCAGTGATGATAGAGTGGCTTTGAGAGGGAGATAGGGTAGGATAAATTGTTGGGAAATGCAAGCGTTTATGGCCTTCCCAGAGGCAATACAAACGCAGGAAAACAGATTACAGTGAAATTCAAACGGAAGAGACATATGATGGATATGTGTTTTTCCTGGATGGTTGCAGAGGTGTCTTAGCTGCTGTGCTCATGATTTGCTTCTGTGGAGCAACTTCGGAATAGCTTTGGCAAGCCCCAATTCGAAGATTTGTCTAAAAGTCTGACACTTAAAAGAAAAGGAAATGAACTGGGGAAAAAAAATTAAAGCGTTAGTGAAACAGTAAGAATTTGTAGCTACAAGTTTTACCTAAATTAAAGATAGTTTATTTCTTTCATCAAATTGTGTTTAGTGTCAGCTTTATAGGGAAAGGCTCCTAAACGCTGGTTTGATTAGGCGGGAGATTGATTCCCCATTTGGATAAAGGAATGTGTGTTTGGTCAATTATCTGAAAATGTTACTTACGTACAGATGCCTATGTGCATGAATGCGTACAGAGTGATTCTACACTAAGGAAGAATCATGTTTCAAAGTTGAAGATACAGATATTAGTATGTATGGGCTATTATCATCAGATATCTTTTAAGATATTCTGTTTATCCCAAATTGGGGTGAGTTCCTGTGGAACTTTAGTAATAGGCTTGAGCTTGGCATCTGTAGATTGGTATGCCTGACATCTCTAACAGGAAAATTAATAGCAGCTGTTCAGAACTTGAATTAGGGGCACGTGGATAATTGCAATATAAGGGGGAAGAGTTATGTCTTATAAAAATGCTAGTTATTTGGATTTATTGTAAGTATATGGATAGAGAGATCCAACTGATGTTGTCTTCCTGGATTTCTAATAGACAACCAACAAGATCTCTCACCAAAAACTACTAAAGAAACCAAGCAGTTTGTAGAAAAACTCTTCTCATCAATGAGTAACTAACAGGTGGTGATGATGAATGGCTATTTTTGTAATGGGAAAAGGTTACCAGCAGATCCTTGCGAAGATGTTCGCTTGTCAATGTTCTCAAAAATGATCTAGAAAAGGGGTGAAGAGGGAGACAAAGTTTGCTGCTGCTGACCCGACCTCTGTAGTGTAGTAAAGGAGGAGGGCTGCCTGGGAGGAGTTGCAGCAGGTTCTTGGGACACTGAACAACTGATGACAAAATGGCAGAGGAGGGTGGGTGAGAATAAATGGGTGCACACAGGACAAAACAGTCCTAAGAATACAAGTATAATTCTGGGCTCTGAGTTGACAATTACCTGTTAGCAACTGCTTCTCAGTGTTGTGAAAGACACTTCTGTAGCAGGATCAGCTCAACCCTCAGTAGCTCTCCAAAGGGAAAACTGAATTTTGGCTAGAAGGAAATTTGATCTGATCTAAGATGGCAATTCCTATGTGCTTAAGATGCAAGAAGAGTTTTAAATTTCAGATTTTTTTTTTTTTAAAGGCTCTTGAGGGCTTGCTTTTCAAAGTAAATGTGAAACTTCCGAATAAGTTTTTCTATTCTTTCTGAAAGGTAAAGCTAAATATGCCCCTGTATAACTACAGCACCCGACACCACACGTTGTCACCAGGTTGTTCAGGTGCTATGAGGAAGAAGATGATGGAGCCACTTCTACCCCTGAGAGGCTACTTGCTCTCCCTTCTGTTCTGTTCTGTGCGAAACTCAAAACGAGTGTCTCGTGCAGAGTATTTGGGGAATCAAGGGTGCAAAAGCCAGCCTGGCTGTGTAGCACCTTCCTACTCCCTTTGGTGTCCCAGCAGCTCCCCAGCACTCCCGTGCAGAGCTCAGCTGCAGCCAGGATTTGGCCCTGCGGCACTTGTTCTTGGTTGCTATTTTGTCATGCTGCCAGAGTGCCCATAGGGAATGCAAGCAGGAAAAGGGAAACAGGGCTTGCTTTTTTTTTTTTTTTTTTAAAGTGGTTGTATTTCATCTAAACCCGAACAAGATGTTACAAAGCAAAGACATCAGAAGCTGATGGCTTTTTTCTTGGCTTCGTTCCCAAAGGCTAGAAAAGCCTTAATCAGGCCTTACAGGCTCTCTGTGATAGCTTCACGTCTTCCTACCTCGTGAAGAAGTGCATGAATGAATGGCTGCTGTCATTCCGAGTACAGCATCAGGAGGGTAACATCAAGACCAAAGGGTATGCTTCCCGAATTGCCTTGTTTAGGAAGGAAACCGCCACTCGTGAGTCATTTGTGACATTGCTGCCATGATGTTTTATTCCGTTAGGAGGGATGCTTGAGGACCACGTGTGTAGGCTCAGTATCTCCGGTAGCAAAGGAACGAAGAAATGCTATATGTCTCCGATGGGGCATCCAGCTGAACTCCCATGGCTTTTTTTAGCATACAGGAGAAACCGAATTGTTGGTAGAGATTTTTTTCCTGCAAATAGTTGTGTGCTGAGCGTGACTCTCTTGCTTCTCTTTGAGTATTTGTGTGCTGCTGAGATAATTTCTAGCACTTTTTCCCTTTCTCTTCATAAACAATAAAGTAAGAAAGAGCAGCAAGTATGGCTTTTGCAATCAGAAAATTCATCGTGGTGGAAACAACAGGTTATCCCTAACATATGAAGAGATTTGGCTTTGCTGAAGGTTTTAATCCTCCAGGCTAGAAATGTGTTTTAACACTACTCTTGACTTTAGGCCCGTAGACCGTTGCGTAGGTAAATTCGGTGGGGCAAGACTCTCTTTTGCTGTATGTTTCTCTGGAACAGAGAAATGTGGGCCCGTGATTACGGCTCCCTGCTGCAAGGAGAATGCAAACAACTAAGTCTCATAGTGAAAACTTTCAGTGAGATTATTCTTCTGACAGATACTTACTGTAGTTTATAAAACATGCTGTATACTTCTAGCATACTATTCATTTTGAAAATATTAAAAAAATTAAGCCCTCTTATTACTTTAGCATAGGATAAATAGCCCACTTTTAATCTCTCATTTTATTTAATATGTTCAATGAAAACATATGAGATCATTGAGATTATAGAAATAGCTTTGGCAGCATTTTCTTATTTAGTTGGACGGTGACCTGTCACTTGGATATAGAGCTCTCTACACCTCTAATACTAAGTTATTTGCTCTCTGAAGAAGTGGTATTACCAGCTCAGGGCTGCATAAATTTTGCATTTCTAAAATCGTGCACCATATTCCACTCTGTTATCCTAAGAATCTGAATCTTCTATGGATGTGCATGGACAAAATTGGTGAGTATTTGTTACAACAGATAAGAGTTGTTCTGAAGTTTCTTTCACTTCCCATGTGCAATTTTGCTTTTTCTGCCTTTGTTAACTTTTGAGAGTTTCTGTGGGTTTTTTTTGTTGTGTGGTTTTTGGTTTTTTGGGATTTATTTTGTGTTTTTTTGTTTTTTTTTTTAAATTAATTAATGATCTTAGAGGTTCACATGCTATGCTCCATTGATCTGGAGTCTACCAGAGATTAGAATCACAACTCAGGCAACAGCAGCGCTTGTTCTCCTGAATACTGAATATCCAAAGCTATCGTAATTAATGGTGCGTCTCTTGGAAAGGATACCAAATATTACGGTTGAGGATTGCAGCCAATTTCAACTATTAGGGCTTGCTTGCAAAGGAAGTTAGAGGGAGGTTATGAGTTTATCAGTGTTCTGGCTGCTCTTTTAACACCCTGCAGGAACCATACATACATTTGGCGCTTTGTTGGCCTGTGGACATCCCTAGTATGAGATACCCAATACCAGTTTGGTGCCTTGCTGTAAAAGTGACCGGAGGGGGCACTATAACCTGCAGCCCATCCTTGCAAGCTCTAAGGCAAGCTTTCAGAGACAAGGGTGCAACCTAATACATGGATGGAGGATGATGGCCTGGGAAGATAATGATGTGTTTTCCTACTACAATCTTTTTCACCTTCATCTGAATAATCTAGTCCTGGCATCTGTCAGAGACTGGATATGGAAAGAGATAGTTTGGGGACCTAATCAAGTCTTAACTTGTCTCTTGGCCTTTCTGGCTTCGTCACAGTCTTTTGGTAATGTGCTCCAGTTCTGAACCAGGAGGCCTGTTCCTTGAGGCTGGAGGTACAGGTTTGTCTCAATGTTCATTACATTTCTGGCTTTGTGTTTCAAGTAAGGGAAGGGATTTTAAAGCAGTGACATAT